TAACAGCACGCAATAAATGTAACAAATGGTTGCTGCATGGCGAATGATGGAATAGGTGTTCATGAAGACACGTAAAACTATCTTTTCCTATAAACAACTTCAAGGCACATGAGTAGATAAACGGAACAGAGACAAAGCTTCTTAAGAACGTGCAAAATTGTTACCTATCTTGGTAGGGTTGTCAGAATAGGTGAAGACAAATTAAACAACACATTTGTTAAATAATTTTATTATTCAGTATAATAGAATACTTTACAAATTACTTACACTAATAATTTTCTTTTTATAATTTTTGTTTTTTAATAATTAATAGTTTCTTTTAATTGTGTGGTAAAAGATACCTATATTATACTATATTTATTTAATTTAAAGACAGGCCGACTAGCAGCTAGAAAAAAGAACGATGTAGGTATTAATGACAATTTTTCATTAAAAATGCTTTTTAAACGTCTATTCAAACTTTCATGATCATGCTACTATAGCTGTTGAGTAGTTCCCTCGTGAGGAGACTATCCTGTCTGCAGCAGCAGTTTATGGTGAAGATCATGTTTAGCAAACTAAATTAAATTTAAACACAAAGTTTCAGAGTCCATGGTACTAACCGTTAAAGAGTTTCTACGTAAGGAGACAATGCTGGCTACAGCGGCAGTTCATGATAAAAATCGTGTTAAACTATCAAAATTAAACTGACATACAAAATTTTGTGATCCTGCTACTACCCGTTGAAGAGTTCCCTAGTGAGGAAACAATCCTGACTACAGCATCAGGTTATATCTATCATATTATTACATAGTCACTGAAGTTACAGTATGTAAAATTTCATCTCAATCAGACATCAGGAAGTGTTTTTTTTTTTATAGGAGTGGGGGCAAACGAGCATGCGGCTCGTTTGCCCCCACTCCTATAAGTGAACTGTAAGTGACTACCGCCGCCCATGAACAACTGCAACACCAGGGAGGGAATTGCAGATGCGTTGCCGGCCTTTTAATAAGGAGTACGCTCTTTTCTTGAAGGTCCCTAAGTCGTATCGGTCCGGAAAAATCGCTGATGGTAATCGATTCCACAAGGAAGTCGTGCGAGGAAGAAAACATCTTCTAAATCGCACAGTGGTGGACCGCCAATCATCCAGATGGTGTGGATGGTATCGGGAGTTCTGCCGTGATGTGCGTTCGTGAAATTTGGCGGCTGGGATTAATCCGAACAATTCCTCAGAGCACTCCCCATGATAGATGCGAAAGAAAATGCAAAGGGATGCAACATCTCTTCGCAGTGCCAATGAATGGAGCCGATCGGAAAGGGCTCGGTTGTCGACGATTCGAGCCGCTCTGCGCTGGATGCGGTCAAGTGGAAGAAGCTGGCACTGGGGAGCCCCTGCCCAGAGATGGGAACAGTATTCCATGTGAGGCCGAACCTACGCCTTGTAAAGTTGCAGGCGGTGTGCCGGCATGAAATACTGTCCCGCTCTACTGAGCACGCCAAGCTTTGTTCAAATCTTACTTGCAATATGTGACCTTAAAAGCTTGTAATAACAATAAAAGAAATATAAAAACACACCGTGTAGTACCCTATTCTTATTAAAAAAGGGATCATACAATAAAATATATATTAATATTTACTTATTTTTTCTAATATTATTCATAACACATATAACAAAATAAACAACCATTATTAGTAATACCAAGTTTTTTACATTAAAATATTCAAACTTGCAACTAACAAAATGAACAACGAGTGTTGCACTGACCCTGAGATTGTTGTTCACTGGCCTTGCCAGTGTAACCGATTTTTTCCAGTCCCGTCAGGTATGCGACAAGCGGCCAGTGGTCACACACACACACATGTCCCGCGTGCTTGTAGTAGTGCAACCGATTCGCACGGTTGTATGAAGCTTTATCTCTGTTCCATTTATCTACTCATGTGTTCAAGGTCTCAGTAACTAATCTAAGAGTGATAATATTGCCATTCTAATTGGAAGTTATGTTTTTTTTAATTATTGTTTCCGCTTGTATACAAATGTTTATTACGTCATTTGATGGTTATATAATACCCCCCAGTGTTACCAGTTGTACGATTTAAATCGTATGAATACGATTTAAATCGTATTCGGGGCCCCTGGGCTACAGGGGCCCCGAACGTGTGTGAGCAAAAATTCCAAAGACTTCTATGGGACAGGAAAGGCTTTCACTATTGTCTATAGAAGCAAAGAATTTAGTAAAACTGAAATCGTCTTCAACTATGAATGCCGCCGAATCGTCTTCAGCTATGTTCGCTGAACAGAAGGCACGAAAAGTGTATATTTGATTTGAATTGTTTGGCTAGCTTAGTTCCTAGGAGTATTAATTGTAAGTAATAACTTAAAATCAATATATAATTATTTTAATTCAATGCAAGTGTTTTTGTTCCTTTTATGAAATTTTTGCTCTTCATTGGGGCCCCCCAACAAATTTTGATACAGGGCCCATCTAAGGCACGCTACGCCACTGGAATTCAGTCAATTATTACATCTAAATGTGTTAAAAATATCATTTCGTACAGTTTAATAAAAATAATACTTCAAAAGATTTAACGGCAAACAATTTAATTAATAATATGATAATTTTCAACCACAATTGAGCATAAAATATTGGATAATAAGTTTGATTTTATAGCAAATATTTGTCATAATCCTCATTTTTTAGACATGTGAAGCCCCAATTTTAATGTTTAATGTAATAAATCAAAAGAATACATGTATTGATATTTTTAAATAAAATATCTTTGTAAACCGCCATTTACTCCATTCAATTGGTAAAGTCATTTTATAGAACAAAATTGATCAACTCTCACGGTGGTACGTAAGGAAGACGCTAGATGGCATAAATTTTACGTGGTAGAGCCATGCTGCAGCTACATTATCACAGAATACCAGCGTAAAATAGCATCTTAACACTGCTGTGTTTCGTATGGTGAGTGTTTTACCGGGAAAGAGGCATTCCATCTTAGTCCTCACGGGTGACAACGCATCTGTATTTTGATTCGCAAATGAGGATAAATATAGATGTCTATGGGCCACAGCAACCACTTACCATCAGGTGGACTGTGTGCTCGTTTGTCACCCTATACTATAAAAAAAAATACGGCTAATGTAAATCAGTAACGTCGTGGATTGTTTTGAATGGACTGGAATATAATAATTTTATTCAATATGGTTAATTTTATTTATTTAACAAATTTGTTAGTTTTTAACCGTCTATTTCAATAGTTAAAATATGTATATTAACCATCTTTACTATACAGTATTTAATAAAATGACACAAAAAAATAACAAACTCGGCACATCTAGTTTTCCTCTTCGAGGTACACTTTCAAGTCACTCCGTCAAGTCCGGAGATAAAGTCTATTCATAACTAACAAAACGAGGTCAAACTCGGCACATCTAGTTTTCCTTGTCGAGGAGTTGCAGTAACAGATACCGACACACCTTCAGGTCTATAAAGTCCAAGACTAAGTATATTTATTTATATATAAATCCTGCGTGCGTTTAGTGAAACAAAATATTGTAATAAAAATCTGTGATTATAGAAATAATAATAATATTTTACCTTCGTTAAATATGTATCAAATTTGGTTTTTGGAATATTTGTATTTCTACGGCGATCGATATTTTTCAGCACGAGCCGCTGTAACAAACGACCACTCACGAGGGCATTTGAGACTGGACTAAATAATGTACTCTGTGGCTGTGGCTCGGAGTGTGGCTTCGGCCTATTTAGTAAAATAAATTAATACAAGGCTGCTAAAACCACGGAAAATTTCGCTATTTTAGAACCGAAAAACATTAATTATAACTAAACAAAACAAAATTAAACTGTCATTTACATTCAATAGCTTCCCACATGATAGATGAAGAGTTTTAAAAATAGATTGAGTTAAAAAAAAAAGATATTTTCAAAAGTTGTCGTGTTTACGCCGCCACGCGGACTTGATAAATCCACACCATAAGCCACTAAAACCCCTTTTTTATGTAAAAATAGCAATTAATCGATTTAAAAAAATATTAATAAGTTCAACAATCATTTATCTTTCTGACAATGTGCTTTTTATATAATTTATATGTATAATATGATTGCTAGATACGATTTCATGCGACAAAACGTTGGAATCTTAATTTTTTGGCCCTAGCAGAACATACCTGCGCGCTTCACGCTTAAGGCATGCAATAATCTTTACTCCTAATACTGTAATTATATTATAATTATTACGAAAGAAATCATGTTATTAAAATAATATTCAAGTACAACGTGGCACAGCACTTGCTTTAATTCAGGGAAAACCGCAGTATTCATTCTGCTTAATGTAAGTGTTGCCACCGCCGCTCGCCTCCCGCTACGCCCTTTAATGCCCTAAGTAATTTTGTTAAAAGTAGTGTTTTCTTATCGAAATATTACATACTGATGATAAGAAATATCATTGTACTTCTTATTTTGCTTCCGTGAATCGTTTTTGCAGCTTAGCACTGCACATTTCACCATGGTAACTATAAATTCTATTAAATATCGTCAAGAGAAATAATTAATGCGCGTGACCTTTCGTGACTAATAACGTCGTCCTGGCCTTTGCTAGACCGTTCTCACGTGTGTACAGTTCTGACTTGCTTACACGTGCTCTATAGTTTTCTGTTTAGTAACCCCTCTGGGTAGGTACTACCCTCTTACCTATTACTGCCAACTTTTTCAGTATGTCACTACTCTGCGAATACAGCATACACACGCTACAAAGCCACCACTCTGCCTGTTTCACTCGATCACTAAGATTGTAACAGAGTGGTGGCTTATGAGAACTGTAAGCTGATTTATGCGTACATTGGATCTAAAATTATTAATAAAAAGCTAACAGTTTACCCCAGCTGGGTTAATTGTGACATTAGGAAGCTAAACGCCTCACAGTCCAATAAGTCATGGATGCTGTGGAGTGTGCGTGGTTTGTGTTCATATAATCCCGTAGTTATTTTTTGCAGTTCTCTACAAAGCTGAAGGTGGATCCGTTACAAATTGAATGAGCATTACGAGAAATGTAACTACAGAACGCGCTCCCTGCAAACAAGATAATAAAAATGATAATTATTACACAAACAGTATCTCCTACTATTCGAACACCTCGTCTGATTGTAAGTGGTTTATAGTGCTTCCCATCACCATCAAAACCGTACTTTATGGCATCACTTGGAGTAGGACAAATTCAACAATGCACTTTATATGGACTGTAATGATGATGATTGATTATTTATATTAATTTGATATATTTGCCATACCAAAAATATACATAAAAGATTTACATTATATACTTATTAATTGCCTATAATAATTCCACCACAGGTTGAAGTCCACTTAATTCTATGAAGGTTTTCCTCTTTCCTAAACAGACTGGAAATGATCCACAGCTGCACATGGGCCTCTCTCACAGTAGACGATGAGCCGAGTGAGAAGATTTGCCCTTATCGCCACGCTCGCCTGGAAACGGGCAGTACTAAATGTCTCGCACCATTTTCTATTTTGCTCTTTGCTCCCGCCATTGGTCGGGGTTTTATATGATATAATAAGTAGTGGCTGGATCAGTTTAGGGTAGTAGGTATGCTCAAAATTTTCTGCGTGATAGAATTCGTAATGAGGATATCCGCAGAAAAACCAGAGTAATCGACAAAGCCCAACGGGTCAGTCAGCTGAAATGGCAATCGGCCGGCTATTTAGCTCGAAGAACCGATAGCCGATGGAGTTGATATGTTCTTGAGTGGCCCGAACTATTACCTCGTACCGGTAAGCAAAGTGTATGGCGGGACCTCGCCAGATAACTGATTGTCTGATCACGACCTAAAACGACATACAGGGAATAGAAAGCTACAGATGGGTTGTCCTCAGGTCTAAGATGAAATGCTTCGTCCATACCCTTCAGACCGGAAGACAGCAGTGCAAACACTGCTATTCGATGACAGAAATAAGTAAGAGGGTGCTACCTACTCAGACTTACTCCTAGGCAAATTTTTTATACGTGGTAGAGCCATGCTGCAGCTATATTAGTAGTATAGTTGTAGCACGAATGGGTCGGCTCGACCGGGGTAGGACCACGCTCTCACAGAATACCAGCGTCAAATAGCAGCTTGCTGCTGTGTTTCGTATGATGAGTGTAGAGAACCGGAGACCCTTTTTACTGGAATAGAGGCATTCTAGCTTAGTTTGCACGGGTGACAACGCATCTGCATTTTGATTCGCAAACGAGGATAAATGTAGATTTCTATGGGCCACAGCAACCACTTACCATCAGGTGGACTGTGTGCTGGTTTGTCACCCTATCTTATAAAAAAATTAAAATAAAAAAAATTGTGCAACCGACTTCAATAATATAAATTATTAAGAATAACTCAAAAACTATTGGTCAGACCTTGATCAAATTTATATGGGACCACGTGAGAAGCACCAACTTTGAAATAAAATTATCGAAATCGGTTCACCCAGAAAAAAGTTATGAGGTAACACACATAAAAAAAATTAAAAAAGCATACAGTCGAATTGAGTACCATCTCCTTTTTGAAGTCTGTAGAAAAAGAGTTCCTACTTAGTATTATTATAATTCTAATTAGGATGGATGAGCTTCAGGACCATGATTTCCTTTCCTTTGGCCCTCCAAAGGAAAGAAAATCATGGTCCTTACAGACGTCCACAGTTGTTCATAAGCCACTGCTTATGAACAACTGTGGACTTGCGAGTCTGTAAAGACTTTTGGATGCTATCGTGCCTTCCGTTGGTCGTCAGAGGATCAAGCATCTGTATCAATAGGGTGCACCACTGATAAGTGAGCATTAATCCATCCTCTCCACTAATTATACGAAGGCTGTGCATATAATTCTATTATTAAATCACTGCAGGCGACACTCACCTCTAATATAATCAAATAATCTAGCTTATATAAACCCCGTGCAGTAAATACGGGGACTTGATGCAATAATTGCAGAGACAGCTGCATTGCCTGAAAGTTAAAGACTGATTTTAATTGCTACGGTTCATCAAATTTACCTGACTGTCAAATACAAATCTTATAGAAATGAAGTTCTGAAAGCTAACTTAGGTGGATGTCGTTTATACAACTATAATGAAACCATAGATTTATTTATACAACTATAATGAAACTGCTCACTAATATTTTTATAACAAGTGGTAAAATCAAAAACTTTGTACAATCGACTATATAGGTATTATATAATTCACTTAAACATAAACAAAAAAGTTATGCCCGAATTAACTTATGAGATTGGAGATACCCCGAAAACAACTTTGACAGAAAAGAGGGTGGACCGTGGTATACTGAACACATGTGCATACCCCTTCAGAGAGTACAGCCGTTATGATATGTTGTGTAATTATGTATAGCAATGCGATGTCTATCTCCAAAACTTATCATCAGATCTTTACGAAATTTACAAACCCTTCTAGTTTGCAAACTTATTTTTGTTTGAAAGTTATGCACAACAAAATTAGTCCGTTTATGGTTTCAAAAAGTATTAGTGATCGATTTGTAACACCTCCGACAAAGGAATAAAATTTATAAGTTTTTAATATTGAATGGTCGAAATTAAAAAAGGGAGAGCCGTGGTAGCTTAGGAGGTAAGTGATCGTCTTACATTTTACAGCACGCAGTACGAGGGTTCGGTTTATTTCCCGCGAGCACCTATAAAATTGTAGTGTTCAGCACTGAAAGGAAACCAAAAGTAAACCTATGCCTGAAGGTAAAATACTTCGAGGAAACATTAAGGCAACAGGCACTGGAGCATTACAGACTGATTGCTACATAACCCTCTTAGAAATGAGAAGAGCTTACTTTTTACACTACACATGTGTCATTCATTCATTTCTAGTGACCCGATCAATCAAGTATTGATCCGTCTTACGAAGCGGGTCATTCGGGTCGATCATTCAAATTGATCATTTCAAGTTTGTACTCTAAGATCTGCGAGACCCGTTCGATAATGTCGGTCATCGGACATCACTATACAGACTCTACGAATGGAATTAGAAATGGCGGCTCATCAAGCCCGTAACCTCAACATGCACTGTACCAAAAGCGAAACCCGCTAATAACGGTATATCGTTATAACGTTATGTTATTCGGATGATTGGAAAATTTCTATTTATGGGAAAATATTTGAGAAGAATTCGTCGTTGGCACCGCAAAGGGGCAAACCTCAATTTTTCAAAAAATTACAGGAGCAAGAAAACATTTATTATTCCCCTAAGTTATAATATATAGATTACTAGCTTTTTTAAAAAAAAATTGTCGATCAATCCTGATATTACACTCTATTTATTCGTGAAGTTTTATTACAATCAGTTCAGCCATCCCGAAGATTAGCTCGGACAGACAGACAAACGAAAATTGTAAAAATGTTCATGTCTCTCTATGTTGTGTTGTTAATTTGCATACATGATTGTAAGCTGTTATTTAAAAAAAAAGTCACGCTGGGTTTCTTGCTGGTTCTTCCCAGGACAGAGGTTTTTATTCCGAACCAGTGGTAATCAAACAAAAAAGTGACTTTCAATTTTATAATCTATATTGAATAAAAAAGTTTCTATTTCTGTTTCTGTTTCTCAATCACATGTAAATATTTTATACAAAAATAATAACGAACAAAATTAACAATAAGTATGAAGAACAAACTTTCAGAACGCGTCGTAGCTCACAAATTGGCGAAACCGCACCGATTTTTTTTTTGTAGTATATGGCATTTATTATTATTGCGCGCCACGATTAATGTCTTGTACATGGCAACACTAGTTACCACTAGCACCCTCTAGTGTCGAGTAGCAGCACTAGGAGAGTCAAGATCCTTCTAGAAATTTCGGGACCGATATGTACTCGAACATTCTCGATGTCGCTACAGTAGAAGGTTCTGTAAACTATCTGAGGCCCTATATAAGGCCGGTATAGAACACGACCGATGCAGTATTGAATTGGCGATATAAGCGAATACTTCGAAGCGAAATAATTGCGAACTAAAGTGATCAGTAATACAATTGTGTTTTATTATTAGTGTGTTTTTAAGTTGTAATTAGTGTTCCGTAATTAAAGTGTCAATTTTGGTAATTCAATCGGCAGTTTTTCATTTTTGGGTTTGTGCTCTTATTATCGGCGATTTGTGAAGTACTTTGCAGATATAGCCGACATTTCTGCTGGGATGAAAGTTGCGATATTGCATTCCAGGAGCTCAAGAACCGTCTGTGCAAAACACCTATTTTGGGGTACCCTGATGCGGGCAAGGAATTTATAGTTGACAGAGACGCAAGCGATATAGGACTTGGCAGTGTGCTGTCTCAACAGAATGGTGATCAAGAGATTATGTGATAGCATAGTGATAGCGTACTTCAGCAAGTCGTTGTCAAAGCCGGAAAGGAACTATTGTGTCATAAGATGGGAATTGCTTGCTGTGGTAAAGTCCTTGCAGCATTTTCATCATCATCATTACAGCCCTTCATACGTCCACTGCTGAACATAGGCCTACCCCAAGGAATGCCACAAAGCACGGTCCTAAGCCACCTGCATCCATCGACTTCTTGCATATACCCTACGCCCTACACTTCGTCCGCCGGTACAAGGCCGCCACTCGAGAACCTTTTTTCCCCATCGGCTGTCGGTTCTTCGAGCTATATGGCCGACCCATTGCCACTTCACACGCACTGGTTGTACAATCTCGTTTTCAAGTTTTGAGGTATACCTGACGAGAAGATGTGCCGTAATTTCCCGAACGCTGCCCAACCGAGTTGAATCCGTCGATTGACCTCTCGGTCGAAGTTGGACTTACCTAGTCGGACTATTTGTCCCAGGTAAACATACTCGTCAACAACTTCGTGCTTAGTGCTCCCAATAACTACCGGCATAGGTGTGACATGGACATTAAACATGATCTTTGTTTTGTCCATGTTCATTAAGACCTATCCGTTGGGAAACACTATTGAGGTCATTAATCATAGTGCTTAGGTCCTCCAGCGATTCTGCCATAAGGACTATATCGTCGGCTATTCTAAGGTGAATGATGTACTCGCCATTGATGTTAATACCGTATCCTTTCCAGTCCAGAAGCTTGAAAACGTCTTCCAATGCAACGGTGAAGATTTTCAGGGATATAACGTCACCCTGTCTTACAGCTCTCTGCAATTGGATAGGTTCGTACTCTGGTTCTGTACTCGGATAGCCACCGTAGCCCTACTGTACAAGCACTTCAGCACTTCGATATATCGACAGTCAACTTGGCATCGCTGAAGGGACTGCAGCACCGCCCAAATTTCGACGGAATCAAAGGCTTTCTCATAGTCCACATACACAATGCAAAGTGGCAGATTGTACTCTTCTGTCTTCTGTACAATTTGCCAAAGGATGTGTATGTTGTTCTATGGTACTAAAACCTTTTCGGAAACCGGCTTGTTCGGGAGGCTGGAAGTCGTCGAGTCTGCGCGCGAGACGATTCGTAATGACTCTCGAAAACAGCATGTAGACACGGCTCAGAAGGGAAATCGGTCTGTAGTTCTTCAAGAGAGCGTTGTTGCCTTTCTTGAAGAACAAGACCACCGCACTTCTGCTTCACGCCTCCGGTGTAGTGCTACCATGGAGGACGGTATTAAAGAGCTTCTGAAGGACTTTAAAGTACCGGTTTTCCACTCGCTTTCAGAAGCTACGCTGTAACTCCATCCTCGCCTGGGGCCTTGCCGTTTTTAAGGTGCTGAAGAGCCATTCTAATCTCGCTCAGACTGACGTCCGGGATATCATCGGAATAGTGTCGGATAAGACTCGCTCTTGGATTACATGTGGCTCCAACGATGTACACATTACTGCAGCCCATAGAACTTCTCAATCTCACTCAAAATCTCAGGTGTCCCAGAAACGACGCTGCCACACTCGGTCTTCAGCTTTAACAGTTGGCTCTTTCTGGCAGACAGATCTCTAGCAAAGAATTTGGAGCCCTGGTTCCGCTCGATCGCTTCTTTAATACGAGCAATATTAAAGTTGCGATCTGTCTGTTCAGTTGCCTGTATGCTGTCAAATCTACTGAAGACTGCAGCTTCATATCTCGTCTAATAGCCATGAGATTAAGAGTGTGATCGGAGAGTTTTTGTGTTCTTCTGCGGCGGGTCTTGCAAATCTTAGCTCCGACCACATGGACAGTTTCCACGAGCTTGTCATTTATATCGTCCACTGCTTTGCAATCTTCTAGGTACTGAAAACGGTTTCGTAGCTCGAGCTGAAAGGTTTCGAGACTTTGGATTAGAGCAAGAGGGGGACGGAACGTTGACTTCATTAGACGTGACCTCTCCAACTTAACGTTTAGGTTCAGTGTGCCTCTCACCATTCGGTGATCGCTGCTGGTTTTCAACCTCGCGATCACTGAGACATCACTGAACAGTTGTCGTCTGGTCGTCATAATGAAGTCAATCTCATTTTTTGTCGCACCGTCGGGGCGCGACCAGGTCCACTTCCTGTGGGGCCGCTTCTGGAAGAAAGAGTTCATCATAAAGAGTCCCTCTTCCTCCATGAAGTCGGCCCGCTGCTGGCCCCTTGGGTTCCGTTGCCCTAATCCGAAATACCCTACTTTCAGGTCACCGTTCTCTCTTGTGCCTAGTTTTGCGTTGAAGTCTCCCATTAACACCGTATAGTGGGTTTTGGAAGAATGCATGGTTCTAGAGATATCTTCATACATTTCCTCCACCTCCTCATCGGGGTGTGCCGAGGTTGGTGTGTAAGCCTGTATGACCTTCAGCGAATACCGTTTGGTGATTCTGAGTATAAGGTACGCAACACTCGTCGACACACTCCCAATCTTTACAACGTTGTTAACGAGAGACTTGTGGACGATAAATCCGAAACCTCCTTGGGACAGATGGTCGCCCTCCCGGTGATAGAGCAAATTGCCGGATTCGAGGATTACCGCGTCCTCCTCCTCTCTTCTGACTTCGGATAATCCTATGATATTCCAGCGCAACTTGTCTATCTCCTCTTCCAGCTCCACGATCTTCTCGTTAGTCCTCAGGGTGCGTGCGTTATAAGTTGCCAGGGCGAGTCGTCGTAGGTGGCAACCGAACCTCCACCGGAGATTCTTAACACCCCCTGCCCCGCCGTTACCATGGTCGCCACTGTAGCCAGGAATAGCGGGGCCGCCGGGGACTGGGGGCCGTCTCTTCGTTACTTTCATGGGGGGTGCAGCATTTTAGCAAATACCTGCTGGAGCGGAAATTCCACTTACGAACTGACCATGCTGCACTGAAATGGCTTTTGCAGTTCAAAAATCCGGAAGGACAAATTGCGAGATGGATTGAACTACTGCAGGAATACGACTTTGTGATCGAACATCGCAGCGGCAAATCTCATGGCAATGCAGATGCATTGTCAAGAAGATCTTGCCCTGAAGATTGCAAGCATTGTACTAGGCAAGAGGGTAAGGAAGTGGTATCTGTGAGGATACTCAGGACAGACCAGCTCAGCAATGAGTGGAAGGACAGCCTACAACATGCACAGCAGGACGATTCGGACATTAACCCGTTTCTAAAATGGATGAAGGCCAGTGCTCTTAAGCCCAAGTGGAGCGACGTCTCAGCGATGAGTTTGACCACGAAAAGCTATTGGGTCCAATGGGACAGCTTGCTGATTCAGGATGGAGTCCTGTGCCGTAAATGGGAAAATGGTTGGGGAGGCAGTTATCATTTGCAAATGGTTGTCCCTAAGGCTAAAGTACCGGATGTTCTACAGCTGTACCATAATGGTTGTTCAGGAGGCCACCTGGTAGTTAAACGAACTCTACTGAAGATCCGAGAACGGTTTTACTGGGTCCACTGTCGTAACGATATCCAGGACTGGTGCCGCAAATGTACAATTTGTGCGGCTGTAAAGGGACCTCAAATTCGTAGTAGATGCGCATTGAAATTGTACAATATTGTTGCACCATGGGAGAGGATAGCCATTGACGTTGCGGGGTGTGAAAGCGAAAGTGGTAACAAGTATTTCATGGTTGTGATAGATTACTTCACTAAGTGGCCAGAAGTCTTCGCCATTCCAAATCAAGAAGCTTCAACATTTGCAGATAAACTAGTTCATGAAGTCTTCTGTCGTTTTGGAGTACCTTTAGAGATTCACAGCGATCAAGGAAGGAATTTTGAATCTCAAATATTCTAGAAAACTTGCCGAGTTATGGGTACTCATAAAAAAAGAACAACTTCTTACCACCCACCATCTGATGGAATGGTAGAACGATTTAATCAGACATTGGACATTGGTACCTAACAAAAGTTGTGGAAAAACGGCAATGAGACTGGGACAGGCGCATACAACCGTTTTTGTTGTCATATCGAAGCGCTGTTCACGAAAGTACTTCAGTGACACCAGCTTTCGCAAACTTTGGGAGAGAATTACGGCTGCCTGCAGACCTGATCACTGGAATACCACCTGATGCCCCACGCAGTATAACCGATTATGCAAATGACATGCGGAACAAAATGAATGACATTTATGAGCACGACAGACAGACGGGCCAGCAAACGTCTGAGAAGATGAAAACACGGATACAGAAAGGTGCCAGAGGTACTTCTCTATGTGGATCGACTGGCGCGTTATTATGGAGCTAATAATGCTCGGGACGAGCATGTCTTAGGCAGGGGCAGTGTTGCGCGCCACTATTAATGTCTTGTACATGGCAACACTAGTTACCACTAGCGCCCTCTAGTGTCGACTAGCAGAACTAGGAAAGTCAAAATCCTTCCAGAAATTTCGGGACCGATATGTACTCGAACATTCTAGATGTCGCTACGGTAGAAGGTTCTGGAAACTATCTAAGGCCCTATATAAGGCCGGTATAGACCACGACCGAGGCTGTATTGAATTGGCGATATAAGCGAATACTTCGAAGCGAAATAACGGCGAACTAAAGTGATCAGTAGTACAATTGTGTTTTATTATTAGTGTGTTTTTAAGTTGTAATTAGTGTTCCGTAATTAAAGTGTCAATTTTGGTAATTCAATCGGCAGTTTTTAATTGTCTCGAACCCCAAGCTCGTAACATTATCATTGATTCAATGACAAGCAAGTTGGATTGAAGTTATAGAACGTACGAAAAACGCATATCGCAACGTATTTTTTGCAGTTTTTACTGGCGGGTGTGAGTATACACAGCGACAATGTGCGAGCGAGACGTGAATAGAGGCGACGCCATTTTCAATCCCATTCTTTAACCGCACGGGTACGGGATAGTACTCTTTATTCGTAGGTTCTGTCAATCGTTTGATCCGGAGTATTCAAAAATGCAATTGCAATCATCAATAGTTTGATGTCTTTTTTAAATAATAATAAAAAATTAAAACGACTTAAATAAAACCTTACCTCAGAAGTTACAACTGGGCTAAAGTTATTATTAATAATCTGATGAGTAACAATTGCTGTGGCTTTAGCCTGAAACAAATGAATTTGTTTAAATTTTTTGTTATGTTTGAAGATGAAATGATTACCCATTTTATTGCATTTCTTATTTTTACTTTCTAATACTTAGTTGATAAGAACAAGTAAACAATTTTTTAAAAAGCAAAAAAAAACATTTAAAATACGCCTCGTATATTTTATAAAGGGTCGAAAAACACAAAGCTTTGGCAAATTGGAGGTTAGTACAGAGTACAGACGTAGGAATTCAATTCAAATCACGTGATCAAGTTTTAGGAACAAAACATCAAACTTACCATAGATTTATTGCGCGTAGTGTTTCTATATAGTTTGTGATTTATTGTCATCACGACCGTGTTGAAAATATCGGTCACTTTGATCTCTCACGGGTAATCAGGGAATTTAACATGCTTTATGTTCAGAAGGGTATAAATAGCCAGTGTAATTACGGCTGTGAGGCATTCGAATTTGGAAACATGGAAAATGCTATAGTAAATGCAACAGGATGCGACATTTCTTCGCAGCGTAAGTAAATCGAGCCGATCAGAAAAAACTCGGTCGTCGACGATTCGAGCCATTCTTCCCTGGCTGTGGTCAAGTGGAAGGAGCTGGCACTTTGGTACCCCGGTCTAGAGATGAGAAAAACACTCCATGCAAGGGTGAACTTGCGACTTGTAAAGTTGCAAACGGTCTGCCGGCGTGAAATACTGTCCCGTTCTGATGAGCACGCCAAGCTTTTTAGAGGCCAGTTCAGCCTTCCTTTTCAAGTGACCGCGTAACGGTCGAACGTCTGATGATTGAACGATTCTGATGCTGGCTAAGGCAGCATGAGGAAGTACCAAATTTTATTTGTACCAAAAATAAAGAAAGAACGACAAGTAAAATACTTGCGGCACTTACTCTATTATTTATTGAGTATATTATACCAAATTTAATTCTGTACATAAGTGGTGCTTGCAACCCTTGAACCATGCGCCCTAGGCTGCAGCCCAGTTAGCCTGTGGGTAAATCAGGCCCTGTAGGTCACCCTCCCGGTGTTAGAACAAGTTGTCGGGATTCGAGGATGGTCCGAATGCGTAAATCTTGTCCGAAGAGATGGGGAGGCCGTGTCCTCCGGACCACGGATAATAATCCTATAATATCGCGCCACAACTTTTCTATCTCATAATTATTAAAGAAATCCATTATATTGAAGTTGTTAGAACTTAATTTGCTAATTACCACGTAATTAAATTAAGACGAAAGAAGACTAAGACGGCGCGGATGAAACCGCGGCTACACAGTTTGTTAAAAATATTATTACGATAATGTATGTTATCATAAGTCTAAGAGAAAGATGGTGACAAAAGTTTAAACGTAAACAACAGTTTATGAAACTCGAGTGGTAACCATTGGCAGTGTCAAACCCCCGCAACTGCTTTATTTATTTATTTAATCATTATTGTATGACATCCTAATCTAAGAGTTACAATTGTTGTTTTCATTAAGATAATATTTTGTAAAGAAAAAACATCACCGTTCGTCCATTGTCAATCCTATCTTAATAATGCAATCAAACGTTGTAAGGTAGGTCAAAAAGAAAGGGACTTGATTTTGCTTGAATTTTTAATAACGCCAAGAAAACGGAGACCTTAGCATTTGATATTAATTTCAAATTAATATCTCCACCCGTTCCTGAGAAAAAGGGCCTTGACAGCCGGACAGACAGAAACAGTGACGGACAGAGAACAATGTGATTTTGAGGTACGGAACCCTTAACAGAAGCTACTCTTAACTCTATGCTAAAAATCGTGGCCTATTCAACACTAACCAGATATAACATTCACTAATCAGCTTCAACGGTCAACCTGTTACTAAAAGGCCTTCATCCAGCAATAGACAGTGCCAGGCAAAGAAACATTACATTAATAATAACTCTAGTCTGAGATATGCATTTAGTATTAAAGTAGCAACAATTAATATTGAATACGAGGGCGGCACTGAAAATTTCGGGAATCAAGGAAGTGACACAACATTACTATTTAAAAATGTATTTATTGCTTTTCGAAGTATTCTCCGCGAAATTTGACACATTTTTCCATACGATGGAACCAATCATTCCATTCGGAAGTTGGGGTCTCCAAAATGGCCGATTTATAGGCGTCCACAGCTTCTTCAGGTGATGAAAATCTCTGTCCACGCAATTTATTCTTTATTTTAGGGAAAGTATAGAAATCATTAGGGCTTAGGTCGGGGCTGTACGGCGGATGGTCTAATAATTCTATGTTTTCGTGCTCTAAAAACTCTTTTGTTCTGTGTGCGGTGTGAGAACTCGCATTGTCGTGATGGAAGATGATGCGGCGGTTGCAGTTCCCTTTACGGAGTTCAGAAACGACCTGTGGCAAACAAATGCTAGCATACCATTCTGCATTAACCGTTCTTTGTCGCTCAAGAGGAATAGTCGTAACATGGCCGGTTTTGGAGACAAACGTAGCCACCATTTTTTTTGCAACACTCCGTGAACGAACAATTTTTGTTGGTTTTAACTCATTTTCGAACACCCAAACTCGTGACTGGTTTTTTGTTTCAGGTTCGTACGCGTATATCCAGGATTCGTCACCTGATACGATGTTGTATACAGCATTTGAGGATCCTGCGTGGAATCTTTCGAGAGTTCTGACGCACCAAGTAACGCGAGCCGCTTTTTGCTCTTCACAGAGCGAATGCGGTATCCCTCGCGAAAACAACTTTTTTACACCTAATTGTTCATGCAAGATTATTTGTATTTGACTCATGCCAATGTCTAAAGTTGCGTGAATTTTACGGTATGTCACATGTCGATCTTCCTCAATCAGCTTACGCACAGCATAAACGTTTTCTTGGGTGACTGCAGTTTTTGGACGAACTTGACGGGGATCATCACTGAGCTTGACACGTCCACGTTGAAATTCAGCAAACCAGCGATAAATTGTGGTTTTGGATGGGGCTTCATCACCAAATGCAGTAATCATCCGGTCAACACACTGTTTTTGTGTGAAACCACTTCGAGTCATAATAAATCATCGCTCTTGAATTTTCTCGAGTCAATTCCATTTTTTCAACGACTAAACAAGTTTTGACAAAACCTTGTGACAAGACCGAGAATCTTTTTTTAAATAAATAAATGGTATTCGATTTTTAAAACCAAGGAGTTTTCAATTAAAAAGATTTTAATATGACAGGAACAGTGGAAATATTCCATTCCCGATACTTTTAGTGCAGCCTATGTAAAAACTACTTTTAACGGATTCAATCGGGTTTAACTATACTTATTTTTAAATTCCCGACGTTTCAGGTGCTTTACAGCACCCATGGTCACGGGGTGGACTGAGGGGTGATTGACGTGCTGATTTCAGCTAGCCCGGAGTACCTTCAACTTTTTTAATTAGTTTTTTATTCATTTTGGTTTGATCTACGTCGGGCATTTGGAAATAAGTATTTTTAGAAACTATTCCACTTCTGATGTTAGAAATTATTCTCAAAATTATTTAAATAAAAGAATGTTACTCGTATTAGAATTTACTCTTAAGGTTAATTATTAAACATAATAAAAGTGTGACAACGGATATTCAACTTGCTCTCTCGCTTACGCAATTAATCATTATCAGAAATAAAAAGCGTACAGCACTATACATTCAGTATAGAGCAAATACAGTTCGACCAACCGTAATATGTACCAGCCATAATCACACATTGGTGATACATGATAACACCAAAGTATGCAAAGCAACAGCAACACGATTTTCCTTACTTACACTAGAAGAACTACTACACGAATAGAACCGCATCACTTGCCTAAATAGGCAGAACCTCAGTGTTACCTTATTCTTAACAGTAGAATTAAACGCGGTAGAATCCGTAAAAGTATTAGAAAATAAAAAAACTGAACAAACTAGCAAGTTATTAGTTTTATTAATACTAGCTGTGCCCCGCGGTTTCACCCGCGTATATCATGCGTCTGCGCATTGCGACATGCGAACTTCGAGAGAGACATCACGACGGACGGTTGCTAAAATTAAGAAAGATTTAAAAAGTGAAATATGTTACTAAAATTACATGATTAACGTAATTGGTGGTTATGCATGATACAGGTACTGATACGAATAATGTGGCCTATTTTGTACCGGCGTTACTATTTCACATTTTAACATGAAAAAGTAGTTATTGTGACATAACAGTAATAGTTAAACATATAGTATCGCAGACTTTTTTGTAGATATTGATAGCTTCTATAAAACTGAAGTACATTACTTTGCTCTATTATCAATAGTTTCCGCAGCGTACGCGATATAAGGATTCGTTTTGGTATTTTTTTCACACCTTGGGTTACATTAACGAAGTTTTCATAAGAATCCCTAACTTTTTGAAAATATTATATAGCCTATGTTCATCAGGGATAATGTAGGATTCTAATGGTGAAAGAATTTTTCAAATCGCTCTAGTAGTTTCAGAGCCTATTCAATTCAAACAAACAAACAAACAAATCTTTCCTTTTTATAATAGTAGTTTAGATTTTCAAAATAGTGTCCATTTACATCAATACATCGCTGCATTCGATGGAACCACTGAGAACAGCACTTTGCCCACTCGTCGTTAGGGGTCTCTTCGACGGCATTTTAAAACGCAGCCACTACTTCCTCAGCGTCCATAAAACATTTTTCTCGAAGTTTTTCTTTTATTTTTGGAAATAAATAAAAATAGCACGGTGCGAGGTCTGTGCTAAATAGGCAGGTGACCCAATAATTCCACGTCTGGCGTCGCCAAGTAGTCGATTGTTTGCTTGGCGGTGAACTTTTTTCAAGACAAGTGGCAAACAATTGTTAGTGTTCCACTCTGCAGTAACTGTTTTTCGATCCTCTAAAACAATTGTTGCGTAATGACCTGTCCTTCCGAAGAACGAGGCCACCATCTTTTTTCCCACGCTTCGACCTCTCCTCACTTTATTTGGCAACTCCTTGGAAGAAAATACACAGACAGCAGACTGACTCTTAGTTTCAGGATCATAACAATAAATCCAGATTTCGTCACCCTTAAGTATGTCGAACACAGCATTTGAGTCACCTCCCTTAAATCTTTGAACCATTTCACGATACCAATCAACACGAAGGAGTTTTTTGGCCTCTGTCAAATTATGAGGTATCAACCGGGCACAAAGCAATCTGACCGCTAAATGTTCATGGAAGATTTTGTGCACTTAACTCATACATATGCTTAAGCTTGTCCGAAACTGCTGAATAAGTCACTCTTTTGTCAGTCTCTAGTCTAGTCACAACACTGATGTTATCTTCAGTTGGCGCCGTAAAAGGCCGTACCTCACGCAGATCATCGGTGAGATTAGTGCGACCACGTTTAAACCCATTAAACCAGATGTAAACAGTGGCATGAGATGGGGCTTCATCATGAAAGGCCAATCGAAGTCTATCATAACTTTCTTGACTTAAATGACATCGAAAGTCATAAAAAATCACTGTAGGAAAATTTTCACGCGTTAAATTCATGCTGACGTGAGACAATTTGCAATTTGCCGCCAAATCGTAAACAAATGACAAATTAATAAAATACATATACAATAATATTGACAGAGTTCCATTATTTTTTTATTATATAGTTTACAAGTGGCCAGTTCTAAAAACTTCAGTGTCGCCCTCGTATAAGAAATCAACAATTAAAATGTTTATGTTAACATAATTAATTACCGTGCCCTGGTGGGTGAATATCCACCATCCCATATCACCCCGTGGGTGTCGTAAGAGACGACAAGGTAAAATTAACAGGAGATGGGCAGCAGCGTCTTTCTAATATCGATTTACTAAAAAAACCTGTGGTTGCCCACTCGATTGCTATGGCAAATAGCAGGCAATATATACGGGAGGCATATGTTCAGCAGTGGACTTTAGTAAGCTGTAACGGTAACTTACTAAACATAAACATAAAACAACAAAATATACATTTATATTCACGAAGTTGTTATTTGTCACACATGAGAACGTTCAAATTGAAGTTAACGTTTATCTAAAAACAAAAAATACGTACCTCAGCTGTAGTCAATTCGCAAAAATATACGATCACGTATACAACACCAATGGCTACAATAATCTGCCAGAAAACAAATGCTAAAAATTCACAATAGCGTGGAACGTTGTGGAATAGACCAGACGCCGTCGCTTCCATCAGATAAAACAAATACAGTATGATTGTAATTAAACATAGGAACATGGTGAAAGCTAAAGCAAAACCGAACTTCTTGTTCGCACTCTCCGTAGAATGATACAATAAACTGTGGGTCTTGGCGCAAGTCTTAATTTTTTCACAAACGTATTTCTCTTGAACCTGTAATGCTCGCTGTATGTTTCCTTGACGCGTTTCATGAACAAAAATGTGCTGCTCCAACGATTTTTTATTCTTTATCTTCTTGAGCACTTTATTAACAATAATGTAGCGTGCCCTTATAGAAATCAGATAGAAACAATAGCACGAAGCAACATTTAGTACTAAAATTTCGACAAAGACGATCTGGTACATTTTGCTAAACGGCATTGCAACTTCAAAGTTGCTGAGAATCAACCAAAGTGTCATCATCTTTGTTGCGCTCAATCCTAATTGAAGCGTAAACGTTAATAAAGTTATAAAGGCGCTTCTAGTATAATCGATTGGTTCACACATGCTTTCTATAGTTTTGTCAATATCGATTAATTCTTGAATTTTGACTGTGCTTCCGCTTAAATCGAACGGCACTTTCCACATGACATACAACACATAATGCAACGAAATTATATTTTCCACATAATCGCCGTACTGTTTTAGTTTCGTATCGTACAAAATTCTTAGAACAGTTTGTTCTTCCATATAAGAGATGCACGTGCAGTAAAAGTAAAGAATATACCAAATCAGGAAGAAAAAGAGGCCAAAGTAACTTAGCCGTCGTTCTATATCATCGCCAATTGTATTTTTTACATACAAGACTCGCGCTCCCATTATTGATTTGATATAATTTACTAGATACCACGCTTCTATGATATTCTTATATCGCTTCATTTGTATTGCTTTCTTACTTTTCTTTAAAAATATTTTCAATGTTTCTAACAACATGGCAGTACGTGAGCAACTTTAAGCAAATAGGTTACTACTCATCGAACACACGTCTTTGTCTAATATTCATCAACAATAAATGTTTTCATACAATATATGAAAATTAAAAATAATATCCCATAAGTAATATAATAGCTTAGTTAAAAATAATAGTGTATAACTCGTACGTTTTAAGTACTTTTAATTTCAGAGTTAACGGACACCATTATCCAAATGGGAGAGTGGCCTCCCATTTGGAGTGTTGGTGCAATTATTACTAAAAAAATTTTAAATGGAAGCAAATGAAACAAGTTTTTGATATCGCAACAAATATTCAGATATTTTATTTCTGAAGTTCACATTTACAGTGGTAGCCTACATTATTGAACATCGTAGGCGTATCCGATAGCTGTGTTATATACAACGGTTTTTAAGTAATCTCAACTCTTGCGTTTATTTATAAGCACTATACAACTTTACATATTGTGTTAATAGCAGTTATATTAAAAGTACTATGATATATCTCACCGCTTTAAATATAACAATTGCATTAAGTGCATGATCATTTATACATAACCAACTAATAGAATGAATGTGAAATAAAAATCTCCATTCCATAGGTCCTCTTCACATCTACGCACAAGAATGCTAAATACTAACCCTGACCTATCTGTTACTTCTTTCAGGTGTCATTCCATTATTCATAAACAATTTATGACACATTATATATAGCCTAGTAACTTAAATTAGCGGCCTTCAAAATGGAATCCTGCCCAACGATGTCCTGCCTTGCGATTGTATTATGTCAAGATTTAGTGAGGAATTTGCTACAATTTATGCTACAACTGTACATCACCAAAACTTTGTACGCGTAGCACTTTAAGTAACATTTCTACTAAATTCTACATGATAAATCAAAATGATTTTTTTAAACTAACAGTCATCAATTAGTCACTAAATCTTGACACATTTCACAACGAAAGACATAAGCGTTTTGGATTTATTCTATGGTATATATCTTCAAGTCAGAATCCTGCCTGAGACATATGAATAACTCCGGTTTCGTTGGAGCAATATTTTTCAATCTCGGTAAATGAAAGTCACCATTGGTCACTAAATCTTAAAATAGAAATCACATTTCAGAAGGAAAATTAATGGTGTTTTCGAGGGGCGGTTGCTAGCTTGAATGCAGGCTGGAATCCTCCTAAAAAGCGCTATATCTCTTAAAGTATTAAGTCACTAATTGTCACCAATTCTTCACTTAATCTGAACCTAATAAAATTTAGGATATCATTGGGAAGGATTCTAGCTTGAAGAACGCCTTAAACTATCATAAAAAAATTTATTAAAATTCGAAAAATAATTCACCGTAAAATACAATTCGGTAGATACATAAATGGTCAGATTCAAATAGGGCTGCATTATTAAAAAAAGGATTTATCTACACTATTAAAAACAATTACCAGCTCTACTTTCAGATTAAATTTAAAATCACAGACTAATAACGTTTTACTTTAATAAGGTTGTTAAATTGTAATTAAGTAAGTTACTACAAAGGTCTTAAAAACGAACCTGTATAATTTTCCATTACAGACAACGATATGCATAATATTTTACATTTATTAATATTGCAGCCCTAGTAAGAAAATAAGCAACTTTTTTATTTTCTCATAGAAGGCATCGCGCAATCTTACCCCACCTACATATTACATATGGCACAAATTATAATATATTGAAATAGTAACATCATTACTAAGGTAACATTTTAGTAGCTATTGCTTTTGTTTCATATACACATATCTAGCATATTAGCAATGTTTCTTCGCGAAGCTAAATATTTCAGAGTTAAACAATTCCTTCTAACATTTCAAAGGAAGATCTCAAGAAATATCTGCCAATATGCTTGACATTTATTACTATATACAGATTACAAAGGCCTCTATTGTTTATTTAAAATATATAAAATGGATACACATCGATGATACTCACTGTACTTGAAAAAAATATTGTAAATTCACTAAAACAAATAAAAAATACATAAATAGGTCAATACGAGAGATAAATTTACATGAAACTGCACATAAGTCCAACAAAAATAATATTTATTCAAAAGCAGATTTAGAATTGGTTTAAAATACAGAAAGTGTAAATTGATAACTACAAAGCAAATTAAAAGCCTACACAGAACTTGCATTTAGACGGAATGTAATGATGGAATAATGGCTGACAAAATTTTGTCCTTACATATTTGATATAACTAAATACATTACTAATAAAAAGATGAAAAAAGGTCATACAAAAATAAATTTTAGAAGAATATTTGCAATCAGAGCAGCTAATAAATCTCGTTTTTTAATGTTTATATAATAATATTATATAATTGATGGTGTTGGGTAAAACTTCTCATCGGCTTAAGCAATTGAAGTCATACTCATACAATATATTTGTTGTGTCGAGACGATGGTTCATAACTATGCTAGTGAAGTTACTACCAAATTCCATAATTATGGACCAAAATTGTGAATATACGATATACAATGTTATTTTTCAAACAGTAACCAAATTTTAAACTTAAGTTCAAATGATATTCCGTTATTGTAGTTTTTGAAAATACGAGTAAATAAGGCTTCTACTTTTATTTGAAATTATCCCAAATTGAATGTGATTTATGGGCAACATTTTTGCCTACCGATCGGCCCTTACGAATGGGTGCGAGCGCAGTAAAATCAATTAAAATAATGCATTACCGCGCATTTTTAAATTTAAAGGATAAAAAGGACAGATTTTTGCGATGTTTTTTAATTAATTTTTCTTCATCATTTGCTTATATTACTTCTGAACCGTATCTGCAAATTTGGCCGGTTATTGCAAAATAGCCCTGTATATATATCTATATTATGTTGATTTATTGCAAAAAAATCACAAAATCCAGACTGTACGGTCTCATTTAGGTTGTGAATGAATATACTGTACAGACCATTTTCGATTTTATGTTTATTCTCCAGCAGAGCTAGCATAGGCATGAGACAATTTTATCCCAGCGGAAAGGAGAAAATGTTTATCCCCTCGCTTAATTTTATCCACCCTTCCAACATGGGCACACCAGTGGATATAATATCCACAGTAGATAAAATGGGAGATAGACTTAGACAGATTTATTGTATGTATATAAACTTAAACCCACATCCAATGAACTAGGATAAAATAGTCCCCTTCAAATGTCAAAAAAGTATAATTTTTATCTTTCATTTAGCTCTATGCTACGGAAAGGGGATATATGTCTACTCGTTATGTCAAACGGGGACATACATCTTCCCATTTCCGTGCTTTGGCATAAGGACAAGATAATTTTATCTCTTGTCAGTGGATATAATCGGAGGATAACATCCACACATTTTCTCAAACTCAACCAAATTTGATTAAGAACTCAAACGAAAAATAAATAAATAAGCAGTTTAAAATAAATTTGTACTATTTCGCATGGACTAAAACACTTTTAAGTTAGCACACAAGCTCCATTTATCTCATTCTTGTGACATTATAGATATTTTTTGCCAAATTACGGATATATTATTGACTTTATCAATCAATCGAAGCCCTAAAAGTAAGAAATAATCCATATATTTGAGAATTTCAAAATAGGGAGCAATTTAGAATCAGAAAACACGATTCTGCAGACAGGCTGGTCAAAAACAAAAAAAAATGTTAGAAAAGAAGAAACAGTTAAAATTTATTAATATAAACACATAATATAAGTATAAAAAATAAAAATATTTCTAATTTGGTTTTGATATGGCTATTTCAAATGTTGTATGACATCAAATTTTTCCATAATTTATAAGGAATTGTTCACAATTGATATGCCAAGTCATAACAATTAATGGATACCGAAAAAACGTAAACAGTTTGGACTTTTTGCAAGAATACTGAAATATTTGATGATGATGGATCGGGGTGCTTTTATTAATTTTTTATAACGTATTTGCACGTATTACGAATTTTTACTAAATTGACTACCTTTTTAGCGTAGTGCAATTAGGGTTCCGAATATTTGTATCGTAAAATTTTAAATGTGCTTTAATTACTGTGTATCTGTGTGTCTGTATATCTGTGTGTCTGTGTATCTGTATATCTGTGTATCTGTGTGTCTGTATGTGGCATCATAGCTTCTGAACGGATGAACCGATTTTGGGTAAGTTTTTTTTCGTTTGCAAGGTGTCTTAATCGACTGTTCTTAGCTATGTTTCAAAAAAATCTGTTCAGCCGTTTGAAGATCACCAGCTCTATTTGTTTCGGGTCTTTTTTTAATTTTTAATTTAAGTTACTTATCTCATGCTCATTGCTTTTCCTTAACATAACAATTGTATAAATAATTTCAATTAGTGCACATGCTTTTTAAATATACCGAGGAGTAGCAGGACACGTGAACAGTTTAAATGAAAATGAAATAGTATATACTACGGAATTTAAAAAAAAAGGAATTTGGTATGATTTTTATTAGGAATTAACATTTAGCACTTGTTTGATTTAAAAAAAAGCGCGTGTATGTGTGTAACGAGTAATGACGCAATGTGCGGCTTAAAAACCTAGATTTAGACTTACTCCTTACCCTGAAAGCAATTTAGGGTGATCAATTTTATTTAAACGTCCTTTTTTGGCCTTGAATAAGAATATAACCAATTTCATTGAAATTAAAGAAACTTCGAACAATGAATTATGAATTTAAAAAAAACTAATACATACACATTTCATACAAATGCTTTTTATTTCATTCTTATTACTTCGATATCTTGAAACTAAAAATAACATAAATGTATAAATATTATACTAATATATAATACCGAAAAAAAAATGATCAAAAGAATTTTTAATACAATGCCTACTCCTAGCAGCTCAAATTGTAACTCGTTAACAGTATGATTTCATCTACTTAAGATTTATATTTTCGAACGGCGTCAACTGATTGT